GCAAGGAGTCCTGATGCCTCAAGACAAAATGGGGTCGTTAGGGCCCTTGGGCATTGAACTCTGCAGCACTGAGCTTTTTGTGTGGCCTCAGGCCAGTGGTGATGGGGTTTCACCTCTGGATACATCCAGACATTGGTGTGTGGTACCCAGAGCAGCACCAGGAGCAGGCTTGCCTGAGCGTCATTTCTGACACCCTGGTGCAGAATTCCCTGACAAAAAGGCAGCTATTGCTGAGAAAACGGCAGAATAATGACAAGGGCAGTTCAGTCTCTATAGAAACACTTTATTAAATATTCTTTTTTTCAAATTTAACGGAAGAGAGGAGCTGAGGTGGGAAACCCTGGCAGGCAGCTCAGCTGAGAGCTGGTGTGCTCCCATCTGGGGGATGGTGTCAGTAACGACACTTTATTTTCAGTGATCCCCTCACCCATCTCACTGCTAATGAGCTTTGTAAGTGAGAAAGTGAGCAAAGGCCCCTTTCTTTTCCTAGCACAAGAAGGGACTCGTTCAGATACTTATTTTCCTCACACGCAATCTTGTACAGGTTTCAGTGGATGCTGCTTTTCTTTCCCCTTGAGCAACCTGATCTAGTGGAAGGTGTCCCTGCCCATGGCAGGGGGTTGGAAATAGATGAACTTTAAGGTCCTTTCCAAACCAAACCAGGCTGGGATTCTATGCTCGTCTTCCCACTGCCTGCTCTGGCCATGCTGAGGATAGTGGTGGTGGGCAGAGTTGCTGTGTTGTGTCCTGGTCACGTGCTGACATGGTGCCACACACTGTGCCAGGGTGGCAGCGGTGGGCACAGGCATCCCATCTGGTTCCAAACCATGGTACTGTGCATCAGCGATGCTGGCTCTGGTGACATCCCAAGGATGCAGCAGGTCCTGCCAGCTCTGCCGCTCCGTATCACCTTGGAGATGTCATTTAGAAGGGGAAAAAAGCCCATTTCTCCAGAACCCAGATAAAAAGAGCACTTTGTTACTCAGCTTATCCATTCCCTGTGCGTACCCAGAGCCCATGTGCTGGCTGCCATCACAAAAAGAAAGACCTTGCTGCTCTGTCCAATGTGGTGGGGTGAGAACAAGCCAATTTCTAGCCATTCCATCAGCCAAACCCCACTGAGATCCTGGTGGTTCCTCCTTCAGCAGCAGCAGGGTTTGGTTACTGTGGCTGTGGCTCACGTTGAGCCTGCAGGATCTCTATTATCAGTGCTAATGCACAAGAAGAGAAGAAACTAAGTTTTCTTTTGCAATCCCAAGAGCAATTTTCAGGGCTGGCTGTTGTCACAGAGAAACCAATTCACTCCTGTGTAGATGGGGTGGATTTGCAAGGTGATGGAATTACATTTGTGTGGTAACAGCTTCTCCCTGGCTTTTCAGAGCAGACCATGAGCTGGACTCTCCCCTTACCTCTTTCTTTCTGTAACATGGATTAATACCAAACCTCTGCCCAAGCTCTGAGGCAGTTTTGCTTGTCAGATCCGTGGATGAAGGATGCTCTGGGAGTTTGAAGTGAGTTCTCAAGCAGTGCAGGTCTAACATGAGAAACCACAAACAGCTTTTTCTTTTGAATTGCTGTCTAATGGTTCGTAGGATCCTTTTGCCTCCCCAGATAAATGGATCCATCCTGTGTCCGGATGAGGGGTGAGCAGAGGTTGTGGGTACCACGTCTCGCAGGCTTTCCACCCATCAGGGAGGGATGTGTCACCCATGGTCGCCCAGATGGAGCTATTGATTGAGTTGCTTATTGATTTTCTAATCATTTTCCCTACAAAAAAACCCCCATCCTGTGTCACTGCCAAGGCAGATCACAAATGGAACTGCAGCTGAATTGATGGGGGATTGATTAAAACTCACTGTAATTATTGGTTCTCCGCTGCCTGAGCCAGACAAATCAATGTCAGTAATAACAGATCTGGTCCTTTATACAAGCCCAGTGAAAGTTGAGTGAGCACTGATTTTGTTAAGCCCACCTGGGAGCCCAGATTGACCCTTCAGCACAGCCCAGGTTGTTGGGATTAGCACAAGTTTGCTTTTTCCTGCCTCATTTCTGACTACTGTGGGCAAGAATACAGTTGTACCCAAACGGGCTTTAGTTTTTTGCCTGCTCTGTGTGACACCCTGATTGTAAATCATCTGCTCCAGGGGCACGGAGAGCTTTAACAGAGTTTTCTTGTGCCCAATATTTGCTCCATCTATATTCATCCCTGCAAACCCGTTCGTGCCGAGGCTGTTGTCTTTCCTGCCATCTGCCTGTTGGTTTTCCTGCCTGGCACTAATTGTGGAGCTCACCAGTTCCCTTGCTTTCCCCAACATCTTTGTGCCCGCCTTAGCCCTACCAAGCAGGGACACTTCCTTATGTCCCTGCTTTGTGTTCCCAAAGCTTTCTGTCCCTGGAGACCTTCTTGCTGCAACACAGCAGCTGGAGAGCCAGCTCCGTGCCGAGCCGGGGATGGATGTGCTGGGGATGCTTTCTTCTGCAAATGTTGTGCTGAGCTATTTGCCTGCCATAATTAATGTGTATTAAGATGCATAATTACAAACAGAAATGAAACACGTTTTGTGATGATTAAAAGCCCAAACTGGAGGAATATCCCAAGGGTGGCCTCCAGCAGAGTGGGGCTAAGTGTGTGTGTGGGTCACCTGCTAAGGGGAAAAAGCCATCATCTTCCTCTGTGGGGTGGGGAAGATGCTGAGCTCAGCACATGGATCAGTGCCAGGGTGAGAGTTCCAAATGCCGGCTCAGAAGAGCAGTGGCTGATCCTCTGGCTGTGATCCTGTAGCTCCTGCTGACTTGAAATCCCATCCAGTTGCCTTCAGCACCCTGGAGGGTCCCTCGGGAGCTCCAGAGAGGACTTGGGCAGAACCCCAGACCTCCTCGTCCCCACGGGCATGGGGGGAGCAGCCGAGAGGCGGATGCGGTGCCGTGGAGCGGAAGATGCTGTTTGCAGTCAGCCCTCCGTGTCCTCCAGGGACATGTGCTGCTGCCAATTTGCACAGCCCTCGTTCTTACAGCAGGGCCAGCAGACGTGGAGGAGACCACAGGAGAGGAGCATTGTAGCTGTGGATTCACACACACACTTATGCTGATCCTGTTTCCCAGGCAGCTCGGCGGTGAAAAGCACAGATTGTTCCAAGTGTCCTCTCCTCCTTAGTATTTGTTCTGTGTATGCAGCAAGAAAGCTTCCTGCTCCCATGTCTGCTGCTGCTTTGTGCCTAGGCAGGCTCACTGTTCCGTAAGCTGTCCCTCTGGGGCTCTGCCTGTGCCCTGCCTGCTCTGCAGAGACAGGCAGAATCCTATTCCAAGGCCCTTCTCTGCCAATATCCTTTGGCTAGAAAAGCCTCATGCCTCTCAGCCTTCCCTTGCCTTCCCTTCCCATCTTATCCAGGGAAGGTGCTGTGGTTTGCAAGGTCCACCTGAACTTCTGAGCAGAGGGCATGAAGCCATTGAGGTGTCCGCAGGATGCTGGGCCTGGAGATGCCCCAGACATCACAAAGACAGGGCAGAAGCAGTGTTGATGCTGCTGCCACAGAGAAATGGCACTGGGTTTCTAGGAGGTGGAGAGAAACTTCTTGTTGCTTGGATGTGGTGGGCCAGGGCTTCCTAAAGCATCTTTGCTGTCCCATGTGAGCAGTTTGCTCCTCAAGTAGCTAAAAGCGAGTCCCATCAGGACATTGCTGGTGTTGGAAGCAGGGTCCAGGGCACCCTGAATGTATATATTAATATGTACAGCATTTTGCTCACATGCAAAATTGATTTTCTTTTTTAATCACAAAGTACAGTGGCTTTATAACCTTTCTTCTGCTTGACAGAGGCCATTTATAACCTGCCTTCATCACTAACTGTACAAGCTCCAGTCTAACTCATCTTCAAGGAATTCCATAATGCATTTTTAATTGCGAGCTGTTCCTAGACAAGATTTATGTATTTTTTCAAGGACTGGCCTTTTCGTTGGTGTTTGTGTGTGTTTGGCAAAAAGGGATAAAGAACACAAGTGCAATAATGCTTTAATCCGGGTGACAATTTATCGGTGGCATTTGCCGCCTGCTGGCTTTTATCTTCTGGGACAAGGAAAGGCAGCTGGGAAGCAGGAATTAAACCCCAGCACCAGCTCACCAGCTTCTGTGTATCAGCACGGTTCCCTCGGCTGTGGAAAACTGATGAGCTGGGCTGTGATCCTGCCTTCCCTCATCCTGCCTCCACCGCCGGCTCCTCCCCTGGGAGATGGGAGGCAGCAAGATGCTTGTGGAGATGATGCCAAGGCCATGTTCCCTGGCATGGATTGAGATGGATTTCTGGGTTGCAGTAGACTTCTCTGCGTCTCAGAAGAACAGGTAACAGAGAGGGTTTCTGCAGCATGGTCTAGTGTGAGACGTTCCTGAACTACATGATCTCAAGGTCTTTTCCAATCCAAACTGTTCTACGATTCTATGTTACGAGCAGGTTGTCATCTTCACCCCACACTGACTAGAGCCTTCATTGCTGTCTAATTCTATCGCCTTGAGGATTTGACCCTCCACTAGAAGGAGGATGAGGAGTGAGGCTTTCACAGCAGACCATGTCCTTGCCCTGTGGTCCTTGTCCCTTTCCCAAAGGCTGTGTGAGGTGATGCACGGCCGTTGGGGCTGCCCCATCCAGCACTCATAGAATCCTAGAATGGTTTGGGTTAGAAAGGACCTTAAGATCATCCAGTTTCAACCTCCTGCCATGGGCAGGGACACCTCACCTTAGACCATGTCACCCAAGGCTCTGTCCTACCTGGCCTTGAACACTGCTGGGGATGGAGCATCCACTACTTCTCTGGGCACCCTATGCCAGCGCCTCAGCACCCTCACAGGGAAAAACTTCTTCCTTATATCTAACCTGAACTTCCCATTACAGTTTAAACCTATCACCCCTTGTCCTATCATTCTTGGGTGAGCTCTGCCCCATTAGGGCACCCACCAGGCTGTGGCTCCAGGGTAGGTGAGGACCTTACCACATCCCATCTCTTGCTGCAGTGCCCCGAGGACCTCAGACCCATGAAGGATGGCACCGGTTGCTACGACTATTCCAAAGGGATCGACTGCTCGGATGGCTTCAACGGTGGCTGTGAGCAGCTCTGTCTCCAGCAGACCCTCCCTCTGCCCCACGACCCCTCGTCCAGCACCATCTTCATGTTCTGCGGGTGAGTCGCTTTCAATGCTCCATCTCCCACTAGTGCATAGATAACCTGTGTCCTTTTCCATCCCTGCCAACCCTCCTGTGCCACCCATCCTCAAACCAGTGTGCCCAGAGAGGGCTTTTGTGTGCCCAGAGAGGGTTTTCTTGGGTGCTCAAGAAATTTGAGGCTGTTTATGGAGATGATTTCCAGCAGGGAATAGAGGCACCTGGTTTGCCTGCAGGCAAAAGCATATGGGAGTGTGCAGAGCACTGTGAGCAGCTGCACCTTCCTCCTCTCCCCCTCTGTGTGACGGCACAGTTTGATCTGTGACTCACTGTGAAGGGACCCAAAAATTGTACATTGTGTGTTGGAGGGGGAAGGGGGAGGATTTGTTTAAAAAACACTACTTTATTTTTCTCCTCTCCCCTGTGCCTCTCTTAAAATAGCGTTTCATCCCTGATTTTGGCCAAGATCCTCTAATCCTACACAATTTAGCATTTTCTCTCAGGAAAATCTCCCTGGCTGCAGTATGTTCTAAAAGGAGCTCAGTGATTATCTGGCTTTATGCTGTGCAGCTGCAGCCACCCATCCATCCATTGCCCGGCCTTGGGGCTCTGCACATTGCATCCCTTGGCTGGTTCATGCTCTTGGGCACAAGAAGGAACCTACTTCATGTCCAGGTGGGAAGGATTAGGGTAAAGGAGGGGAAAATGAGCCCTTCTGGGAAGGAAATACCCACAAGGAAGCAAATTCCTAAACAGTAACTCCAAGAGCATCCATCAGATCCTGGTGCTGCAGGTTCAGCATCTCCTGCAGCCCTGGCTGCTGGCTGCAACCTGGGGAAGAGCAGGCCAGGGAGCTCTGCCCATGTCAGCTTCTCTCTTTTCATCCCTTTTTGCTGGTTTGTTGTTTTTCCCCCACACCACCTTCTTTTTTATGGTGGTTTAACAGCACAGAGCAGTTGAGTCACTGAGAGCGAGCACATTGCACCGTGCCTGCCAAAGGGGTTGGAAATCCATATGGGCACCAGAAACCTTTGTGGGGAGGATCTAGAAAATCATGGGACATTACATGGTCTCCATCCGCACCCACACGGGGAATCTGCGTTTTAGTTTTCCATCCCCAAGGACAGAGACTCTTTCC